CGAGGGCGCGGCGCGGGCGGCGCGGCGGGCAGCGGCGACGGAGGGCGGGTCGGAGAGCGCTGCGCGGCGGCCGCGGCCGCGGAGGTGTGCGCGGGCGTGCAGAGCGCCGCCCGGACTCCAGCCGGCCGGCACGGCAGCGGCGGCGGCTGCCGCGAAGCTGCCAAGTCTACTACTGCTGCCGCTGGTGCCGCCGCTGCTGCAAGTGCTTGCGGCGCGGCAGTTCAGAAAGGGCTCCTGCGTAGAGTGATGACGTGCGCGTGCAGGGGGCTGTCAAAAACTGTGCGTCGATGCCGCCCCAGTGCAGGGGTGGGCGACGCCGTTTCTTATTCTAGACCCACAAAGCTGAAAAGCTACCCCGCTTCCCCGTCCCATGACCCGGCGCAGCGGCCCACCTCGCATGAAGAAGCCACAGCAGCCCAAGGGCTGATCGCCTCCTGCGGGCTTGAGGGGACCAGCGATGCGGCGGGCTCGGAAGCGCACGTGTCTGCAGCAATCGTGGAGATCTCGAGCGGCTGCAGGTCTTGAATGGGCGCCAGAGCCGCAGCGCAGGCGCCGCCGCCGCCGCCCTCGCCGGCGCCGGCGGCGTCGCTGGGAGCCGAGGGGTCGGCGGGCCAGGCGCCGCCGCGGCGCGAGAGCACGGGGGTCGCCGGCTGCAGGTCCAGGGGCGGCGCGTCTGCACACTCCTCACTGGCGGCGCCGCCGCTGGGGTGGTCACGCTGGCCGTCACAGCTTGCGAGCGCCTGCGCGTCTTGGGCACCCGCCGTATCTGCCACGCCCTTCGCGGCGCGCATCTGGGCATCGCCGAGCGGCGCGGCGGCGGCGGCGGCGGCTGCGGCCTCTCTGAGCAGCCGGTTGTCGGATTCAAGCGCGTGCACCCTCGCCTGCAGCGCGGCCCGCTCGGCCTCGAGCGCGGCCACGCGGCGCAGGAGCAGTGGCACGAGGTCGGCCGCGCCTGGTGGGCTGCTGGCGGGGACGGAGGCTTTGGTGTCGGGGGGTTCGCGGGTGCCAGCGATGCTGCCGACCTACAGTGGTCAGAAATTGCAAGGGCGGGCTGGTGGGGGGCGGGTGTTTGTGGTTCAAGGTGGGGGGGCCACCGCCAGGCGCGCACAAGCCAAGCACAGGCTCATATGTATGGGTCGTTTCAGGCTGGCGGGGTGCGCGAGCGTGCCGGTTGTGCACCGATCCCGCCGCAGCGCGCAGCAGGAGGCGGTGCTCACCACCAGGTCCTGGCCCAAGGCTGAGCTCCATATATCACGCGGTTGCTTATCTGGCTTGTCGCGCGCCGCGGAGATGTCCGAACTGCCCGGAACAAGAAGGCTCTGGATCCCCGACGTGACACCACCAACAAGGTCGGCAAGGCCGACGATCGCAGGACTGGAGGATACGTACGGCATGATATGAATCGCTACAAACGTTGGTTGTGATGGCTCAGCCCACTTCGGCTCACAATCTTGACTGCGCATCGTCACTGAGCAGACCCTGCACATCGCACCAACCGAACACACGCCGTTCTGTTCGGCACAGGCCACAGTACAAGTCAGGGCCAAGTCGGTGCTTGGATCACGTCGTGCCGTGCTGGTGAATTGAATTCACATTGTAGAGCAGCAGCAGCTGGTACCCTGCAGCAAGTTGTCACCCCAACTGCATTTACGGCTCGCTTCGGCGCCAATCTGAACAACAGTGCTGACCACGTGCAACAGTGATGTTGCACCGGGCATGCCTACATGCCTACAAAAATGCACTCTATGGGTGTTGCGTTCAAAGCAGACAGCATCACTGCGGTGGGGTGGGAGTGAGATGCCTCCCCACGCTGCGCACGCTTTGCCTTGCGTCGCTGTGCGCTGCGCCCCTCTTGACATGAAAACGGTGCCGTTGCGGCGGCACCCAGGACGCGCCAATACAGCAAATTGGGTATCACCCCGTGCCTGGTGCGAGTGACGCGGGGAGCAAAGCCGGGCGCGAATATCCGTGCGCATTGAAATTGATCCCTGGGGACCCGCGCGCGGGCAAAAACGAGGTCCGAATCACGCCCTGGACACAACACAATTTCTCAAGCGACGCATTACAGGATGTTTGCACACGGCACGCACACCATGCATGCCCCCAGCGGGCGGCCGAAGCAACAATGCCGGCACCGCGCCGGGAGCGCCACTGCGGCCGTGCACCCTCGGCGCAGGTGTGGCGGGTCGTCATAGGCAATTAAATATGTACCGAATCCTGTATGAACGTTTGCGAGATCGTGACCGCTGCGGGCGGGCAGCAAGGCGGGCGACTTGGGGGGTCCGGCCGCGTTCCCGAGTGGCGTGATGCAATGACATCATGAGCCGAAGGGATGCGCCTGCGGGCTGACCAGGCGCCCGTCCGCCTCCCCCAACCACCACCTATCCCAGGCGCGTCGCCCCGGCGACGAACGTGCCCTGCCAAAACATGCAGCAAGCCATCTGTCACATCGTCGCCGCAGCCGCACGCGCCGACGCCCACAGCGGCGACGGCGGGTTCGGCTGTGGCGGCGCGGGCGGTTTCGGCGGGGGAGGTAACGGAGGGGGCGGCGGCGGCGGCAGCGGCGGCAGCGGCGGCAGCGGCGATGGCCCCAAGCTGAACGGCGGCTGGGGCCTGGCCGTGATACTGGCGACAACCGCCCTGTTTGGCAGCGTCGCACAGGCCGCCCACGCGTCGGTGCCGGGCCCGAGCGCCGCCACCGCCGTCCCGGGGCCGGCCAGCAGCAGCAGCAGCAGCATCGAGGGCGTCGCGGGAGGCGGCGCCACCGCCAGCAGCGGCAACAGCAGCGGCAGCGCCTCGGCGGAGCCTGAGACGCAGGGCGAGGGGGAGGGGTCGCCCAAGCGGATCGTGCTGTTCGTCGAGCCGAGCCCATTCACATACACCAGGTGTGCAAGGCTGAGGCGCCCATCAACGACTGCATCGCCATGCGCTCGGCTCTGCCGCTCATGCACAGCTCTGCGTTCCCCCTAACAGCTCGGATAAGCGGGCCCACATGTGTCCATTCTATCGGTGCACGCTCAGTACGGCTTGTTGCAGACACACCTACAGATTGGCGACGGGCTGCGACTGACCTCCCTGAACGCACAAATTCTTCGCCAGACGCCGCTGTCGTTCGCGGAGCAAGCAAAGCCCCAAGCCCCCTCGCCAGCCCACCTCTGCCGTCTGCTGTCGCCACACGACACCCCCTCATCGGCCCGCCCCTTGCCACTGCTTGGTCGCCTGAACCCCTTCCCCTGCCTGCCTCCAAACCCTCCCTTGTTGCGCAATCCAGCGGCTACCAGACGCGGTTCCTGGCCACCATCAAGGAAATGGTGGAGGCCGGCTGCGACGTCCTCGTCATCACGCCAGGTCAGCTTTGCAGTTTGGGGGCGGCTTCTTAGCAGCCAAGGGGGGTTCGAGCCTGCGAGGCGACTCACTTGGGCTGGGTTCAAGCGCTTTCAGGCAGTGACGTGGCTGGTGTGGCGCTTTCTGATCTGTTGGCCCACTGACACCGTGAGGCAGGGTGTCGCAGGGTTGCACAGGCGTCGTGAGCCCTTGCTCACATATCATGTGCCCGACCCTTTTTGCCCGATCCCGGCCCGGTCCCCAGGCCGCGGCGCCGCCGGCCTGCTGCCCGGGGGCAAGGAGCAGCCCGCCGAGTTCGCCGGCGCGCGCGTCGTCGAGGCGGGCAGCTTCCCCTGCCCCGGCTACGGCACCGTCCCGCTGTCGCTCGGGCTGTCGCCGCGGATCTGGAGGGAGGTTCGATCCTGGCGGCCAGACCTGATTCACGTGACGTCACCGGGGGCGCTGCCCGTAGCCGCCTGGCTGTACTCCAAGTGAGGGCCCTGCACCGCAGGCTTGGGGGCAGGGGCGCCGCTGCCACGCGCAGTCTGTGCCGCGGCTCCTGAGGCGCTGGCTTTGGTGTCCCAGCCAGGGCGGGGATGCCAGCCAGGCGCAGTCACGTCGACAGCACATCCAACAGCTGGTCCCTGCCCGGCTGCCCGGGCCTGCAAGGCTCACAAGATCGGGCTTTGCTCCACGAGGCGCCTCTTCATGCGACCGAACGAATTGCCAACCACTTCTGCTATCGCGCTCGGCGCATCATATCCCATCTTATCCCCCAGGATGCTGAGTGTGCCGCTGGTCGCTAGCTTCCACACCCACGTGCCCACATACCTTCCGAAGCTGGGCCTGGGGTGGCTGGTGAGTCATCGAACGTTTTTGGGCCTCACCGGGCCATCTTCTCTCCCTGCCAGACCTGACAGTGTCAGCACATCCGCAAATTGGGCGCGTGTACGCGGCCTGCACAAATACAGCGAAAAGGAATGCCTGGGGTTGGCAGCTTCCCTTGTACGCTTGCGGGTGCTCAACGGCCGCCGTTCCCGCCTCAGCAGCTACGCATTCATGCGGCAGGCCCGCGGGTCTGCAGCAATCAGCTTCATGTTCGCCAGCAACCGGCGCTGATTACCTGGTCCGGTCACCCTCCTGTGGAACGCGCGATCGCTGCAAGGGCCTGCGGGCCGCTCCGACGCCAGCAGGCACACAAGCTGATGGTATCGCACCTTCCTTGGGCCCCTGTCTCGTCGCGCAGGAGGGGAGCATGTGGGCCTTCATCCGCACCATCCACCGCGCGGCCCACCTGACCATAGCCGTGTCACCCAAGTCCGCCGATGACCTCATTGCCGCGGGCGCCTGCAACCCCAAGACTGTCAAGGTGTGTGGGTTTGGGATTGGTGATCGTGTGAGCATGTTCCATGCATGTACGCATGATCAGGAGCACACACGTATGGCACGAGCGCACGGCAGCAAAAGCACTGCGTCTGTGTCTGGCGTTTGTTACGGTTTATACGTGCCGTGACGCAACGCCGTCAGCGTGAGCATGCAGATGCAGCAGTGTTTGTTTCCATCAGCGCCGTACCTAGATGGTCCAACATGAGCGTGCCCCGCCCTCTCCGCACAACCGCCAACACCTTTGGTCGCCGCCGCGCCCTCCACCTGCCCCCCAGGTCTGGCCCAAGGCCGTCGACTGCGTCCGCTTCAACCCCAGCCACGCGTCCCCCGAGATGCGAATCCGCCTGGAGGGTGGTGCCAAGGGCGGCAACGGCAGCGTGAGCGGCGGCGACAGCAGCGCGCCGCTGCTGCTGTATGTCGGCCGCGTGAGCTCCGAGAAGAACCTTGAGCTGCTCAAGGGGGTGCTGGCTAAGGTGCCTGGCGCGCGGCTGGCGGTCGTCGGCGACGGGCCTGCGATGGCGGTGGGTGGCGCTGAGCTGGCTGTGGCGGTGGATGAGTTTGCTCGTGTTTGTGTGTGTGTGTGTGTGTGTGTATGCGCACGTACGTGTGCGTCTGTGGAGGGAGGGATGACGCTCTTTGTGAGCACAGAAAGAGCCCCTGCGTATGCCGGCCCGCCAGCACAGACCAGTACAGTCCATCACAGTCCTTCCTGCTCCGATTGGCAGTCAAACTGGCTCCCTGCGCCACCGCGCGGCACTCTCCTCGATGCCCCGCGCGCTGCTCGGCCCCGCTCACCCCCACCGCCCATCCATCCCCCCCCCCACACACACACACTCATCCCACGCGCAGAAAATGAAGGCCCACTTTGCGGGCACCCCCACCACGTTCCTGGGGGAGCTGAGGGGGCGCGAGCTGGCGGTGGCCTACGCGAGCGCTGACATGTTTGTGATGCCCTCGGAGACTGAGACTCTGGGCAACGTTGTCGGAGAGGTGAAAGGGCCGGGGATGGGGCTGCCGCTGCAGCCTCGTGCCCAGTTAGTGTACAGGATTCTGGTGGCTGAGGGGGTGTGTCAACAAGTGGTTGCATCACTTGCCTATATAAATTCAGTCAAATCAGAAAGCGCATTCCTTGAGAAAGGCCGGGCTTGGCTTTGATCTAACACCCGTCTGCCCGCCCACCTGCGCCACCCAAGGCGATGGCCTCCGGCCTGCCCGTCGTGGCCGCCGCCGCGGGCGGCGTGCCGAGCGTCATCGGGCGCCCGGGCGAGGCGGGGCTGCTGTTCCCTCCCGGCAACGCGGACGCGGCAGCGCGCGCCATCAAGAAGCTCATGGAGAACCCCGACGCCAGGTGAGGGATCGTGAGAAGAACTGCTATGGGTGGGAATCGAATCCGAATGTGGTTTCTGACATTTCGGTCATGTGAGGGCGCGGTGGGGCCAGGTGCGGCTCCTGCCGACGGAATGGCGGCTGACCTAGCGCCCGCGACGGGCACGGTTGCTGTGCCTGGTGTTGTGTGCTGCGGTCGTGTGGGGCAGTGACACCTGAAAAGTCAGTCTGATATGCTGGTGCGCGGCCTCCATCCTTGTTTTCCTGGGCTGACATGCCTTCCCCTTGGAACGCTCAGCTTGTTGTATGCTGCCACACATGTGTGTGCACACACACACACACACACACACACACACACACACACACACACACCGCTCTCAACCGCGCCCCCCACCGCCACAGGCGCCGCATGGCGCGCGAGGCGCGCGCGGAGATGGCGCGTTGGTCCTGGCGCCGCGCCACCATGGAGATCCTGCGGGACCACTACCCGGCGGCCCTCGCCGCCGCGCGGCGCGCGCCCATCCAACCGCTGCTCGCGGCGGCCTGACCGGCGGCCGCCGCGCGCGGGTGGGGTACGCGGCCGGTCACGCATTGTATACTCAGGGTTGCTCGATTAGGGCGCTTTTCAAGGGACGAGGATTCAAGTGGAGCGGCGAGGTGCTGAGCATCCATATTCGCGTGCCACGCACTGGGGGCGCGTAGAGCGCCGTTTTTCTGGGCGGAACAAGGGAGGCGGGCCGCAGGACACGGCCGCAAGCTGTGGGTGGTTGGCAGGCTGGTCAGACTAGCGAGCCTGACCGGCCAAGGAAGCAAGCTGCAACTGCATCCGCGCATCCAAACACGATTCGTACAATGGGCCATTCACTGCTGAGCAAGGGGGATTGCGTCCCCACGCGCCTCCGCCCGCATGCGTCGAGCAACCTCACACCATAAACCGGGCTGTGACAATCCCTGGCAATTCCAGTTGGTCGAGGCGCGGTTCGCGTCAGCGCGCCGCCATTTTGCACATTCTTCCACCCCAAGCGCCTGCGCCACGTTTCCGAGACACGCTCTTGTGAATTGCGGTGTGCGTGTGTTGTCCCACAAAAGCGTATGGCTGCCGGCTGCCTCTTCTCGTTGATATTGCAGACGGGGGCAGGTTGCGCCGCGGCGGCATGCGAGTTGATGCCAGGCTGCACAGCGTCTTGAGTGCTTGTAACATGCCGTGTCACAACAGCCGCACGCTCGGGCAGCGGGCGCCGGCTGGTGAGGGGTCACAAGGAGTGTGTTATGAAGCGTCACACTGGCACATGGTTGAGCGCTGGCAGAGTGGAGGTGAGTCGCTTTTGTGTAGCTGTCAATGCCGACAGCCGGGGCCATGGCAGTGGTGGGCTGGAAGGCGAGGCTCAGCAGACAATCTCTTGCCGACTGAGATTCAGTGACCGGCGCTCGAGAGCGCGAGGCTCGGGCAGAGGCTGATGTATTTGGCAACGGCGGGTCAGCAGGACCGTCTAATGCAGCGAGTAACAGCTGGCGCTACATCAGCAGGGAGTCGAAGGTGAGTGGTGGTCGGCAGGCGCGCGAGGCCATGGTTGACGCAAAGGCGAGGGCCTGTGTGTTGGTCACCTCGGGGACCGCGCCGCGGCGCCGCAGCGGGCGCAGCGGACAGTAGTGGCGTCACCAGGAGACAGGCGTCATGGCGTCCCAGGTGGGCCAGCAGCGGTTGGGTGAGGTGGTCGAGATGCTACACGGCGAACTTTGAAACAAGAAGCGTACCACAGTTCAGCTCGCTTTGTATCATACTCTTCAAGGCAGGTCTCGCGCTCTTGCGCATGCGCGCTCGGGTGACTGCGCGCCCGTGAAGGAAATTTCATCCAAGCAAACTGTTGACAAATGAAATCTTGCGCTGGAACGCGCCAGTGGCTTCGATGCAGTTTGTTCGTCGTTCTGGTCGGGCTTGTGCATCACGCGAGCGCGTTTAGCCCAACGGCCGAGACAGATAATCGTGAATTTTCATTATCATTGGTGCGCAAACGAGCACAAACAAGCGAAGTGATGCATGAAGACCTTCAGTGCAGCACCGGGCGCTGCCGAAACAGATGCCTGGCATGCGTCCACATAGCCCAAAATGGAACGGTCAGCCCATGCTTGCATCCTTGCCTACCCATCAGGTGCAGCACCTGTCCTGCGAAGCCACTTGACGATCCCGCCCCAACACACCTGTGCAGTCCAGCCCCGCCAGCTGCAGCGGCGTGCGGAATCGCGTGGAGTCATCGGTGGCTGATGTTGGTCCTGGCGCGGGCGCTCGCGCCGCCCCCTGCAGTCTTGAGCCCGCGGCTGGAACGTCAGATGGTCATGGTGGATGCTCTCAGCAGCCTGTACGGGTTGAAGAGCGGTCGAGGCTGACAGCGTCCCCATCGCAGCCACCGTGGCTGCATTTGCCGCCCGTGCACCCAAGATCGCAGCTCTGCCGCGCGAGCGGATTGCCAGAGGGGCCGTCGACGGCAGCTGAGCAGCCACAGCAGCAGCAGCAGCAGCAGCAGCAGCAGCAGCAGCAGCAGCAGCAGCAACGACAACAACGCGTGGAGCCCCATCATCATGGTCAGCAGCAGCGTTGCTATAACAGGCACAATAGCAACTCGCAGGGCTGGGGCGCAACGTTGGTCAACGCAGGCTGCGCGGCGGCCGCAGCCCTGGCAGTCATGGCGGCTGGCACTCGGCCATCTCTCACTGCCGCCTTGCTGCTCGCGCCCGCGACATTCTGGCGGGCGCGCGGCGGGCAACGGTTGTGATAGGCCCACTGTTCGACATGTGCTTTCCGGTCAGTGGCGAGCGCATCCGTGCGTCAGTCATCATTGAACAGGATAGCGGGTGGCGCCAGCAGTCTTTTCATGAGAAAGACCCCTCACCAAGGCCAACATACGCACTCGCATGATGTCCTTGCTGCGCACTTTTATATGACTAAACACTCATCCTGTGACTCCCGCAACGCCACGCCGGCGCCGCCGTTGATTGGCCCAGCACACACCAAGCTAGCTCCTGCCCCAAGCGCGCGCATGTTGGCGGTCCCACACGCAACGCGGACCTCTTGCATGCGCAGCAGGCAAGCGGCGCATGAGCTCCATGTGCGCTGTGCGTCACCCGTTTGCATGCCGCAGTCAGTGGGTGGTTGAAGAGCCGTGATTGTATGAGACGCATACCATGGTCTGGCCAGATTGGAACGCTGTTCCTTTCGTTGTACTGTAACTCTGCTGTCAGATTATGATAAATGCCGTTTGATTGTGATTCTGCTGCCACGTGAGGACGTTGCCCCAGCTATGCCCAGCATTCAAAAGTGCAGGAGTCGCACGATTGCTCGAGTCGTGCGCTCCCCGTCGCGTGTTCGGGGCTAGTCAGCGGAGGGGGCGGACCGTCCGTGATGCAGCATTACAGGCGCCTGCGACGCGGGCTGCTTGCAGCTGTTCGCGCGCCGGAACGGCTCGTGGGGGCGTGGCAGGAGACAGCAAAAACGTCCGCGTTTGGGTCTAATCAAGCAGGGCAAAATGCAGTTGGGTGGGTCGGCGAACGATCGATTGCTGAACACTCATGCAGGCATACCCTTACTTGCTACTGCGGCGAAAGCGCCCCGCCCGCCACGACCACCGGGGGCGGCGGGGCGGCGGGCAAGAGGGTTGCTTGACCAAGGGGGCAGGAAGTGCCCCTTGACCTGCTGCCCTGGCCGGCTGCTGCAGGTCGCGATATTGTGCAGGTGAGAGTGTGTGTAGGGCGCTCCGCAATACGACCTCGATCAATGCACCACATGCGAGCGCCTTGCAGCAGCTTGGGGGCCGTGCTGGCGTCCATCGTCGCCGTTTGCTGCTGCTCCTGCCATCCCGCAGTCATGGCCATGGCCGGTATCGCGTGCCTCAAAAGCATGCGCCCCGCCGCCCCCCGGGGCGGGCCCCGCCCTGGGCAAATTCGTGAGCGCACTAGAGAGCGAGGGGCTTTGCCGGCCACGCAGGCGTTGGCGCGGCGGCTTGCGCTTGGCGGCAAGCAGCGCGCGCGCGCGCTGCTTTCCGCACAGAGAGCGCCCGTGACGCCGCGTCAGCACGCAAGCCACCACCCCCCCCCCCCGGGGGCGGGCGCCGGCGAGCGCGCGCGTCGGCGGGACGGGGGACGGCAGCCGGGTGGGGGGCAGGACGCCCGGTGGGGAGCGGTCAATGCAGCTGCCAAACGTTGCGGTGCAAGGTGCAGGGGCTTGCTGCTCCCCTGTCTAGGCAAATAGGGCAGGCAAGGCAGGCATACAAGCAGTGTGTCGCGTATGCAGTGCAAAGCAGGCGCAGCCGCCTGCGCCGCGGGCGCGCCGCGTGCGCGCCCCGCGGCGGCGCGCGTTCGGCAGAGGAAACAGGCAGAAAGAGGGTTCAAAAAACACAGGTGACGCAGTTGGGCCAGTTCCCCGCATCTTCATCATTGGACTACTTGGAATAGACCCGTAAAGATTTTTGGAACAGAGATCGCACAAACGGCACTGGGATCGGAATATCAGATACCAGGCTGCTCCCACTGACGCACTTTCCTCAGAGATTCCAGCATTTCGTAGTTCGGGCGCCCCGCCTGGCGGCGCCCGCACGGCGCCGGCGCACGCAGACGTCCCGCCCGCGGGCGGCGCCTCGCCCGCGGCCCGACGCCGCCGCCGCCGTTGCCCTGGAGCCGCCGCCGCCCACGCGCCCCGGCCGCGAAGCCGCGCCTCAGCGGAACGGCGCGGGCAGCGCGGGCGACTTGGGCATGTAAGCCAGCGACCGGCTGTAAACCTCCTGCTCCTCCCC